CATCATAATTGCACTATTCAACTGATCCAATACCACAATCATCCTAACCGGAGCAGCAACCTTCCTAACCGCCTCATATACCCTATTCATACTCCTACCTTCACACCACGGCTCCTCCAGAACACCCCGGATGAAGACTTCATCCTGGACCGGCACCCTGAGTTCAGCAACATCATCATTGGGGCTGGTTTCTCAGGTAGGTGAAGACATCCGGCCCCCCGGCCCCCGTGGGGGTGGCTGTGCCCCTCACACCTCCTTCTCCTTTCCGCAGGGCACGGGTTCAAGCTGTCACCGGTGGTGGGGAAGCTGCTGTGCGAGCTGAGCCTGGGTGAGGAGCCGTCCCACAGCATGGCCCCCTTCGCCATCTCCCGCTTCCTCCGGGCTGCACTGTAGGTGGGGCCTGGCCCTGCCCTCGCAGCACCGGGCTGGCCTGCAGCAGTACCCCTGCATCCCGGTGCCCTTGCACCCCAGTGTGTCAGCATCCCTGCATCCCCTCATGTCACCATCTCTATCTCCCTGCACCCAGCATCCCAGCACCCCTCCATCTGTGTACCCCAGCACTTTGACAGCCCAGCACCCCTACATTCCAGCACCCCTGCATCCCTACACCCCAGCATCCCAGTACCCCTCCATCCCTTCATGTCCATATCCCAGCACTTTGACAGCCCAGCATCCCAGCACACCTGCATCCCCATATCGCTGCATCCCAGCATCCTGGTACCCTGCCTCCCCACATCCCAGCAGCCCCTTATCCCTGCATCCCGGCATCCCCCCTGCTGCGGTGCCAAGCCGTCTCTACCGAGCACCCGCTCCCTGGAAACAAATTAAGGAGCTTTGTCAGCCTCATGAAGATGGAGCTGGAACAGTGCGGAGAGACACACTCGCTTAGGAGTCAAGTTAAATGTTTTAATGTTAAATGTGCCATTTTATTATCATTAGATCGCTCCCACTTAATGAAAGCGCATTAGCGCAGCGTGGCTTTATGGCAGGCAGTGCCCAGCTTGGGCCCTCCCATTCCA